CTTTGTACCCACCTCAAACCGCGCTGTACCCACATATGCCTGCTTTGTACCCACCTCAGCAGATACTATTTTAGAATCTCCCTCTCAAATGCTGTTCACTACTTATTCTCCAATCGTCGTGGAGCAGTGAGAAACTACCTAACTTGGATTGCTGCCGTCCCAAAACGACAAACAAAAAAAAACCTCCCCTCTCCAGAATTTCATAGCATCTCATGCAAACACCACTTTTAAACTGCTCATCTTCATCAGTTTTGCATTACATGGTTATTTATATAAAGTCCATGGTTATGTTGCGTCAGCAGCTAGCAGCAGCAGCTAACTGTGGCACTTCTGGGGCACGTTTGGCTGAAATTAAAAAAAAATGCCAAGAAAGCTGTGTAATGCAAAACTTATTGCAATTTAAAGTTTTAAATAATGACATTTGCATAAATTTTATTGATTTATTTAGAAGGGACAATGCACATTGATTGACATTTCTGTAAACGTGCCAGAGTTAGCCAAAGGCTATTTTTCATCTGTTGTCCCTGGACTTGATAAAAACAACAAAGGTTATACAAAACGAGRTTAAAATTACTCAGCTACATACAATTTGTCAATAATATAATAAAATACAATTAATCATAAAAAAATTAAGAAATTACACACAAATTTTATACAAAGTATAATAATAATTAAAACTAATTTAAACCTTCATCAAGATGGCTAAAACACAAGTGGTCACATAGTGGAATCAGGCGAAGGCAGTTATACAAAATGTTGACAGATCTGTTGTGTTATAATCCAAGCCTTTAGCTGTTTTTTTAAATAGATTATACGTGGTGAGAAGAACTCTGATTGACTGAGGGACAGAGTTCCACTCCTGTGCAGCTGTAAATGAAAAGGCACTTTGACTAAAAGCACTTTTACGGAGAGGAACAACACAATCACTGTAGAATTGATTGAAATTGGAGTTGTTTTAATATAGACACAATCCTGTCTTTGTTATGAATGAAATGGGTAGAAGTCTTTATGGTAGAGATAAAATAGATCATTCTTTAAATAAGATGACTCCTCTTATTGTTTCATAAATGTGTTTTTATTTATTTTTTATCCTAATCAAAGTAATAAGTATTTATCTGTAGGTAAGCTGTGTTTATTCTTGTATAATAGTGTTTTGTATTAATAATAAAAAAAAGCTTATAACTAAAATAAACCTAGTGGGAAAAAAAGAACAAAGTCTAAAATTATACTGAGGCACTTTTACAGTTTGTCTCAAACGTCTGCAAGTATCTGCTCCATCAGCTCTGTGATGGTTGTCTCCTCAGTGGTTTGAGCCCTCTCAGTTCGGGACGTGGTGGTCCGTTCTCTCCTGCAGCATGAACCTGGCCGGCAGCCTGGGCCCCATCATTGCCACGGTTCTGTCTCAGAGCTACAGCTGGAGGACCATCCTGTCCGTCTCCGGGATGATCTGCGTGGCCGTCTCCTTCGTCTGCCTGCTGCTRATCAAGAACGAGCCGAAGGACGTGGGGCTGCCCAGCGTAGAGGCCGCGGCCAAGAAAAGCAAAGGAGGTAAACATTTATCATTTAAAGGGACAATATTATGTGTTTCTCAGGCATACGTTTAAATACTATACTATAATAAAGTATTTATATCACTTTTAGCTGTTATTAAAATGCTGTTTTTATGTTTAAATAGAAAATAAACTTCTTATCACTTCCTCGTCTAAACCCTTGAAATTGGCCTCTTTCTCTTTAGAACCACCTTCCGCTTCTGACTCGCCCATTTCAGTGGGGGGTGGGGGGCTATGATGCAGTTTACTTGGCATCTGAAAATATATTTCCTCAAAYGTATTTTTAATCTGAAAAGAGCTTCACTGAGTGAGAAGTGTGGCAGACAGTTTAAGTTTCACTTTCACTTTCACCCGAGAGCCTGCAGGAGTCATGGGCGGGGTGTGTGGGGAGGGGGGTGGGGGCGCTCTGCCATGAGGAAGCTTGGCTTAAAAACATGCCCCAGGGGCGTTTCTGGTCCCAAAAGGCGTTTCTGGTCCCCACCTGTCGTTTTGCTCCTCAGCATGGCTGCTTAAAAATGCTGCAGGATTTCTCAAACATGCATGAATGAGTCAAAACAAGGCTTTGGGCATGTTTTTTTATGAGAGTATAGCATTATAACATGATCAAAAACTCATAAAAGTTGATTTTACATGATATTGCCCCTTTAAAGACCGATAACATAGAAGTGTTCTCTGTGAGAGATGTGCATGTTGTCATGTAGCATGTGCTGGGACTAAAGGTCAGTCACAGAGTGGACTCTGTCCCTCATGTTTATAGTAATGCTGTGGGGGTTTTAAAGAGAGATTTGATACACAAAGCTTTGMTTTTTCATGTCACTCATGAGGATCTCAGGTTGCAAAGACACAGACGCTGCAAGTGTTTCTGTTCAGGGGCCTCCAGCGACGAAAGCACCCTGTCCGAGTTCCTGCTGTCGCCTTACCTGTGGCTGCTGTCTGCGTCCTACCTGGTGGTGTTCGGGGTGAAGACGGCCTGCACCGACTGGGGCCAGCTGTTCCTCATCCAAGACAAGGGCCAGTCCACACTGATGGGTACTGAAGAGGGATAGAGTAAACACACACACACACACACACACCTCCAGTGTGTGTAGAGGAAATGAGCTACAGTCAATCACCATGTCCTCTTTGTAGGTAGCTCCTATATGAGCGCCCTGGAGGTTGGAGGCCTGCTGGGAAGTCTGGCAGCTGGTTACCTCTCTGACAGAGCAGTGGCCAAAGTAGGTTACACTTATATTTATATTTTATTGTCATTAACAGATTTCTGAGTGTTGATACCTGTATAAGTTTATGGGTTTTCAGTGTTTTTTTTCACTAAATAAAAACAATAACCAAAAAAATGATCCAACACAGCAATCCTGAAAGCAGCTAAAGCACATGATTAGCAGTAAACACGAAGGTGAAGGTAGAGTGTTGAGAATGTGATGCAGGTAACACAAGCAGCAGATCCTCCTAAAGAGTCAAAGAAATGTTTGTTTGATTCAAGTCCAAGCATTTCATGAAGCCATCCCAAACTGAAATCATCCCAAGTTGAGAAATTACTTATTGTAGTTTTGATCAAACCTTGAAAATAAACTTTAGGTTCATTCGCATGCAAAACTGCACGACCTTGAATTAGCAGGGTCAAACTCAGTTACACAAGGGAGACAAATTTTAAAACTTGGTCCAAGCCAAGAGCTGTTTTTATTTATTAAAATATGTTAAACAAGAAATTATTCTTATAAAAATACAAATGATCTTTTTCAAAGTCTATTTTATGTAGCATTTTGAACGTACATGACCTAACAAAGAAAATTATTCCTGATTTTCGTCATTAGCATTCATTTCTTATGCCTTACTCTCTATCAGCAATGTTTTCATTTATTATTTCTTAGAGGTACATTTGATCACAATCCAGCAAATCAAGTCAAAATACAATTATTTGATGAATAAGAAGAGAATACAGATGAAATTTTTTTTTCTCTGGTACTCTTTCCGCACCAAAACCAAAAATGACGGAAAATTTCAAACTTAATTTTCTTGGATTAAAAGTTGACCAGCTCACATGAGAAAAGTGCAATTCATATAGAGAAGCCATAAAACGGTTGCACTTTTAAAGTATTACCTTCAGGACTGGATAAAATGGGAACGAATGACAGATTTGGCCCRCGGGCCTTGAGCTTAATACATTAAGTCAGGGGTTCCCAAAGTTGGAGTCAGGACACCTTTGTGGGTCACGAAACATCAAGCGAGTGTCCCCAGATGATTTCCAGACATCAATTTAAAGGCAAATAATTTTCTATTGGAATATTTAAAGCATAATTATTCCATGAAAGTAGTATCATTGTATGTAGGTTTGTTTATGTTACTATGTCCATGTTGATCATCAATGCCTTAAATGATCCGCTCAGAATAACTCTCAGCTACTACCACACCACATTTTAGCWAGATATCTGTAAAACTGACTGAGTTATAAGCAGTTTTTGGGGTGTGCTAAAGTCCCTTAGCTGGTGCTTTCAGTGATTACTTTCTAAGCATTTCAATAAAATCWGTCCTCCAGTGAGTGGGAGGTATTTTGCTAACAGACGAACACTAAACATAGGCTGTTCGGCGTTGGCTGATGAGCTGAAAAGGCTTCATTTGGTCACTTCATGTGACCCTGTGATGGGCTGGTGAGATGTACAGTTTACCCCAGGTCCTGTTCAATGACTGCTGGATTTACACACACACACACACACACACACACACACACACACACACACACACACACACACACACACACACAATGGGCCTGTTTTACCAGACTCTTCCTGAAGTCAGTAAAACGATCTCATCACGTCCTTGTTTTTGTGCAGCAAGGTACGAGACTCTACGGGAACCCTCGGCACTTCATCCTGATCTGCATGATGGCCGGGATGTTTGTGTCTATGTACCTGTTCAGAGTCACGGTCAGCACAGACAGCTCCAAGGTAAAGCTGAGCCTCCAGAGGTTCACTCTCAGATTTGTTCAGAATTTATTCATAAATTCATTTCATTAAAAAAAACAAAATTTATGTACAGTAAAAAAAATACAAACAACGAAATGAAAGGAAGCAGAGAGAAGAACAAAAATCGTATATCTGCCCCTTTTTTCCTCAATTCAAACAGTAATCTTTAAAGCAGGGGTGGGCAATCCTGGTCCTCGAGGGCCGCAGCCCTACAGGTTTTATGTTTTTCCCTGCTCCAACACACCTGATTCAGACATTGAATTACCTCATCAAAGTTCTGCAGTATGGAGGACCGACACTGACATAACGAGAAAAAAAGTAGAAATATATAAATGGACCAATAAATAAATTCAATTAAAAAT